AATATTCTACCTATGTGAAGTATCTGGTTACCTATGCACATTAGTTCAGATCAACATAATTGGCATCTGTCACTCAACGTACTCTTAAAAACTATTGCTCATTCTAGCCTTGCTTATTTAAAAACATACAGGGCCATACTGAAATCTGAGGATTGCTGCTTCAAGGATCATTATGCTCTGTGAAACTGACCTTTTACTCACTTTATGGAAAAAGACGACTTGCTTAGCACCATAGCCATGCTTGTTGAACCTAAGTGGAGCTTCTGAGCTTTGTACTAATTAAGATTTTCATAGTTTTCTCATGGTGGTAGATGGATTGTTTGTAAATAAATTGGCTTCCAAGATTGAGTTGACCAGCTAAGATGTTAACAGGTGTCTACTTGTACTCCTTGTGCATTCTTTCCTGACCACCTCTTCCCACCCTAAGAAATGATCATGTCTTCCTTCTGTATTTTTTCACAGCACATACCAATTCTGTTATACTTACCGTTAGATATGTGAGCCCAGAGAACACTGATATATTCCTGGGTGCTGAATATATTCAGATACTGCTAGTAAGGTAGAGATCATTGGAAAACAGACTGGTATGATGTTAAATATGTGTCTACCATATGAGCCAGCAATTTTCCTAGGTTTATATATATACCCAGGAGAAGCAGAATCACATGTCCAGACAAGAACTTGTATGCACTATTTACACCAGTATTATTCATTGTAGCCAAAAAGTAGAGAAAATGCAGCTGTCCATTAATAGATGAATGGATTAAAAATTATTAGTACCTCATTCTTTTTTAGTACACCATAACATGATATAACATGGATAAATCTCAAAGACATTTATGCTAAATGAAAAACCACCAGACATAAAAGATCACATATTATTGGATTCTATTTGTAGGAGACATATCCAGAGAAGATAAACCCATGAAGAAAGTAGATCCATAGATACCGGGGCTGGGGGAATGAGTGCCTGCAAAGGGCACTCAATTACAGTTTCTTTTTAGGCTTGATAGAATTTTCTAAAATTAGCTTATGGTAAGGATTGACAATTCTGTGAATATACTAAAAAATCACTGAATTGTATAGCAATCTTTAACAGTCTCCTTTCCTCAAATGATGGATTAGAAAACAAAAGAAACCTATGAGGAACAGAGAGAGACAAAGACATCAACAATCATCTTAGAGACACCCTGCTTTGACAATACCAACTTGGGCAGGAATAGTTCCTAACAGGAATCATTCTAATCCAAAACAGTTAAGTTCTTTACCTATTATCTCCACATCAGGACTTGCATTCTTTAAGCTGAAGTGCAGCTTAGAACCTGGTTTCATGCTGTGTCTCCCACTATGGGGCCTTTCTTGGCAACAGCATTTAGCTTTGTCTCAGGGAATACATACCAGCCGTTAATGGGAAGCTGTTAAATATTTTGTCTCTGTCATCATGGATGATACTATGCAGTTTGGTAGTACAAAATTACCATACCATCTCTACTACTTAAAAAGTCTTGGGTTAAGCTCTGGAGAATTTTCATAAGCAAATTCTTCTGTATGGGCTGGATCAGCAAAAACTCCAATAAAATCTATTTCCAGGAAGAATGGACCATCTACTTTATCAGCCAGGGTGAATCCAACAGAAGAGATCTACATTGAAATACAGAAATTGATCAAAATCTCATATACTGATACCATTCCTGGAGTTTTGAAGTTCCTGAGGTGATTAATATAACTAGGTCTTGGGGCACCTGGGTGGCTCAGTCAGTTAAGCGTCCGATTTTGGCTCAGGTCATGATCTCTCAGTTCAGGGGTTCAAGCCCCACTTGGGGCCCTGTGCTAACAGCCCAGAGCCTGTAGCCTGCTTTAGATTCTACGGCTCCCTCTCTCTCTGCTAACATGGATGCGCAGGGCTCACTCTCCACTCTCAAAAACGTTTAAAAAAAAAGAATTTAACATAGCTGGGTCTTGACACTATCAGCCCTTAGCAAGTACACCAGAGTTCTCAAATGCTGTAGCAAATCATAAGTGCAGGGCTGATTTTCTACCTTCTACTTTCTCTTCCCTCTCCAAAGTGTCCACTTCAGACTGGTAAGGTCAGCATGTATGTCTAATGGAGGTTCCTTGTAGCCCTCCTAAACTTCAATACTTTTCACTATTTTGGAGCTAAAATAAAATGTGAGCAGGCTGAAATGATGACGACCATAGGAAATTCCTGCAGGATGGAGGTTTGGCTCACAAGATATGTCTGAGTCAACCTCCATATGGGAGTAACAGGGATGGCCTCAAGAATTTTTAGCTTTCATTTGCCAGCCCTCAAAAATGAACTGAAATGATCCTCACAGGAGTTCTGTTTCACTAAAGGGAACAGTTCTGAGTGAAAGTACAGGAAAATGTTACCTTATCAAGCAGAAGCTGGTACTGGGCATCCCGGATTCTTCCTTGATTAGAGAAGAAAAATTTGGAGAAAGGAATCTGAAAAAGAAACCACATACTTAACATCTCAAATGTCAGCAAGTGAGGCAGTTGTATGGAATTGCAACGATAATAGTTTAATGCTAATGTTATTTAATTCTAACGTTATAATTCTAATACATGCAGTTATGACAAGTGGCTAGTCATTTTGATCATCGATATACATTTTTTAAAAATGAAGTATTAGGCGCCTGGGTGGCTCAGTCAGTTAAGTATCTGACTTTGGGCTCAGGTCATGATCTCACGGTTCGTGAATTTGAGCCCCACATCAGGCTCTGTGCTGACAGCTCACAGCCTGGGAGCCTGCTTTGAATTGTCTCCCTCTCTTTGCCCCTCCCCCACTTGCACTCTGTCTCTGTCTCAAAAATAAATCTTTAAAAAATTTTTTAAAAACTTTAGATGGCTCCTGGATGGTTCCATCGGTTCAGCTCAGGTCATGATCTCACAGTTGGTGGGGGTTCGAGCCCCGGATTGGGCTCTGTGCTGACAGCTCAGAGCCTGGAACCTCCTTCAGATTCTATATCTCCTCCTCTCTCTGCCCCTCCCCCTCTCAGGCTCTGTGTCTCTGTCTCTCTCTTAAGAATAAACCAACATTTTTTTAAAAAATGAAGTATTAGAAGAAAACAGATAAAAACCTTTCTAAGCCAGAAATCCCAAAGGAAAAATGATACAGTAGAGTACAATTTAACCTTCTGACAGCAAA